GCTTATGTGCATTCAGGCCTCCATTCGACACCTGCCAACATATTATGACAAAAATAAACACATTTGCATAAGTATTGCTTGATGGTACGTAGGGTTTCTACCCAAACTCCAATTAATTAATTGTATGCCTTCTAACCCCACATTTTGTATCCTAGCACCTCACCATAAATGAATTATGTACTTCCTAGCCTTACATCAATTCATTCTGGCCCCATCAGCCCCCTTAGTTATTTGTGTGCTTCTAGCCCCAAATCGATTTTTCACATTTCAGCAGCCAACAGTTAATTCTGTGCTCCCCACAATTCACATCAGCCTCTTCATCTTACACTCCCCTTTGTTCCTGCTGCAGCTGTAGTGGAAGCTCCAGGGATTCTTCAGTCCCACTTCCTTGTGTGGGGCGAGGGTGAACTCCAGTGGCTCTTCCCTTAGGAACATCATAACGGCCATACTTAGTCAGACCAATGGTCCATCTAGCCCAGTATCCTGTCAATGCCCTTCAAGGCTAGACGTGTGTGTGTGTGGCTAATGCTGGATGCTTCCGAGGGAATGCACAGAACAGGGCATTTATGAAGTGATCTGTCCCCTGTTGTCCAGTTCCACCTTCTGACAGTCAGAGGTTTAGGGACACCCAGAGCATGGCATTGCATCCATGACCATCTTGGCTAATAGCCATTGATGGACCTATCGTCCAGACACACATCTAGCCCTGAAGGGCAATGATCAGTTCCAGGGATTTATCAACAACACACACACACACCCCGAATGTGGGACAGGGGGGTCAGCTGCAGGGGTTCTTCAATCCCTCTCTCTCCTGGCCTGGGCTTGGAGATTCAGGGGGTATCTGAGCCATTTTTCATAGGAGAGAACAGAGTGACCTGGAACAGCTGGGTTCTTTCTGCTCCCTCTTGCCCACACCTCTTTTGTAAAAACAGTATCTGCTGTTCTCTCCTCCCCCACCCAAAAACTACTCTCAGATTCTTAGGGAAGTGGGGAGAGCTCTGACTGCCACCTCTGGTTACCTTTCCTGGAGGGGAGGGATGGAAGGTAGTTTTCCCTGCACACCTGAAATGAAAACCTGTAGATATGGCAGATGTGTGGTTCAGGAAAGTACTTAAGCATGTGCATAAAGTTAAATGTGTGGCCTAAAATTGTTTCATGTTCTCTCAAAGTAAGGCACAGTAATCATTCTGACATCACAGATAAAACATTCAAAATTCTACCTACATACAAGGCCTTGTCTACAGTATGAGAAAAGGGGTGATTAAAAAAAAAAATCAAGTTAGCTAATCTGATTTGAAACACCACTTAGTGTAGATACAGTTTAAACACCTTTAAAATAATGTTAGCTGGTCATGGTGTAGCCTACGAAAGAATCTAGATTACAGCAAGACCACCTACTGTATTTGTAAAGGTGTTAACTTTGTCTATGCTAGGTACTAAATTTTATTTCAGATCAGATAATTTGATTTTTTTTTTTTTAAATCTCCCCCTAGCTAGACAAGGCCTAAATCAATTAAAGCATTCTTTGTAACTATCTTATTCCAATGGACTGCTAGTCTATACTAAATCTGTGGTCATTTGGGTAATTTTTATTGCGGAAGACTCGCATCTGATTTTAAGATTTAGCCTTTTATTTATTGTGGTACGATTGGCTGGCCCCAGAGAGAGAGCCAGCAGGAAGGAAGTACTGTTGCTGAGAAGCATAGTCAATCTGAGGAGGAGGTGGGATTTAACAGAGACAAAATGATTGGGGTCCTCAGGGTTTGAAGGAGGAAAAATAATCTTGTAGCTAAAGAACAAGCCTGGGAGTCAGGAGATCTGGGTTCTTATCCTCATAAATGCCATGGACTTTGTGTGATCTTGAGCAAGTTACTTAATTTATCTGCGCCTTATCTCCCCAGTGGGAGTAATAATGCTTAGGTACCTCACAGGGGTGTTGAGTTTCAAACAACATTTGTAAAGCACTTTATAATTCTTTGTGAAAAGTGCTTAGGAACACAAAGAACTATTCTTATGTGTGTGCGCACCAAAATATCTATTTTCACTTTTTCACTGCTCTACCTTTCACCAGGGCTAGCACAAACCTCAGAATCGATCAACTCCCTTGCCACCATTTGTCTGGTCCCACGTAGAGCTTGGATGTAGGAGAAGGTTTGTCTCTTAATCTCTCTGTATCCCATTTCCCAATCTGTAAAATAACTATACTTCCTCTCTGCCCTTTGTCTTATTGATTTTAGATGGTAAGCTCTTAAATGCTGGTATTGGTTCTTATTATGTGTATATACAGCAACTCGCACAGGGTGGCGGCCCTAACTTGATTGGGGACTCCAAGCACATCCGTAACTCAAATTTAATTTAAAAAATTCTATCTTTTAAGAAGAAAATATAGTAAAGTCAAAGCCAAAATAGAACAGTATATTTTATTTGGGCCACCAATTAGAGACTACATAAAACATGAAGCAGTCTGAAAAAACATTGAAGTGAAAAGTAGTGCTAAAAACAGCACAAAAATAAATATGATATTCACTGCATTTCATCTTTATTTCTTCTGCTTTTTGAATTTCATTGGATTACTTCTTAGATCTTAGAATTTAATACTAATACTTCTTAATACTGGTTAAACAGCAGTCTTTGTCATTCACTATTATTAGGCTAATTATCTCCATAGGAAACATCCTAACTGAGTAGGTTTCCTGATTAAACCAACCCTAAATTTAGTGAAATTCACCGTTGTACTCATGAACATTTCAGGTTTTCTGTATGTTATAAGATTAGCTATAAGCATTTCCTTAGGAGCAAGTGGAATGCAATATAATACCGAATACCGTACCTTTTGTAGTGGTTGGCTCACTACAAAAGCAATTTTCCCTCTCTTGGTATTGACACCTCCTCATCAATTATTGGGAGTGGACCACATCCACCCTGATCTAATTGGCCTTCAACATTGGTTCTCCACTTGTAAGGTAACTCCCTTCTCTTCATGTGCCAATATATATTTATGCCTGTTTCTGTAATTTTCACTCCATGCATCTGAAGTGGGTTTTTTACCCACGAAAGCTTTTGCCCAAATAAATCTGTTAGTCGTTAAGGTGCCACCAGTTTTCTTATTGTTTTTGTGTGTACAGACTAACATGGCTACCCCTCTGATACTTTCTACCTTACAGGCCATTCTTGAAACTTGCAAATTCCTCTAACAAAAATGTTGACGAAAAAATGGCAGTGTCCTGATATAAATATGATGTAGACATTGAATTACAAACTTGTTGCATCGTCTCTTTGGTGTGTCAAGTTCCTAAATAAACGCACAAATGCTGCTGTGGGTAGCTAGTTGGAATTCATTGTATATAGTGCAGTTTCTCTAGTTGAGAATTGTCGTGTTTTTGTTTTAAAAATAACAGGACATCTCTTAACATTCAGGATACAATTTTCCACCCCGAAGCACCACAACAGTCTTTTTAAAGCAACTCTAGGAAGGGTGTTAACTTGATCAGTGCTGAGTAGGAAGGAAGGCTCTTTCCTACTATTTTTTCAGCATGACTTTCACTGACATGATCAGGCTGGGAAAAGACTTATTGGCTGACAGCCCAGGACAACTATGCAATATCTCAAGTCAACTGGAACTCAAACTACCCTGCCCAAGGGAGAACTGTAACATAAAAAGAATTTAGGTTATAGGCTGGATCTTATAAACATTGTCCAGTTTAAAGTGTTTTTTAAATATTATTTATGTGCGTTCAGCATGTACATTTCTCTCAGATGCTCTATCAGCAAATGAAACATTAACAAAATTAAACAATTTCTAGACTTTTTCAAAAATATCAAAATGACTTCCTTTGATCTCACAAATTAGGTAACTGACTCCTTATAAATATTTATGTTTACTTAGGAATTAGCCCTTAAGTCCTTACTCAGACAAAATTCCCATCGCCTTCCATGGGAATTTTGCCTGAGTAAAAGATCTCAGAATTTGTCCAATAATTCAGCTTAGAAATTTTACATATAGAATTCAGTGACAATTCCATCTGAGGGGGAAAAAATAATGGCGTTCTTAAATCAGAGGGGCATTTACTATTATTATTATTTTCTAGTTATGAATTGAGGTATACATTCATTCTGGTTCGCAGTGGAGTAGGTTTTATTTTCTTTTTCTGCTTTGTTTGTATTTTATCTTCGATGCACTTTTAGTGCTGCTGACATTGCTTTTGTTTTTATTGCCATTGCTCTACTTTAACTTGTGCTCTTGGAAAGACTTGAGCACATACTTAACATATATACTGGGAGTAGTCCTACTGAAGCCACAGTGACTACTTACAGTGCAGAAAGTTATACATGTGTATAAGACTTTGCCAGATTGGGGCCTTAGATTGTAGCTCTTTTCATTTGTTTAATTTAAAAGTGCCCTGTGGCACAGGAGAAGAAAAAAACTGCTCCACTGAGATCAGACTATACTGATGATCAGAGTTATTAAGCTACAGAGTTCTTGAAACTTCATGTTTTTCGTTATTGAAACTGAAAGTCATTGGTTGCTGCCTACCATTACCATTTCTGTATTAAAAAAGAATGGGCGTGAAAGGATAACCTTTCCTTCTCTTGTAAAGACTGACAAGATGTTAGATCAGAGTAAAATAACAAGTATGTGTAACATATATATTTTCTAACTTTATTACTATAGTTTTAATTGAAGATCATAACTTGTGGAGAGAATAGCCATTTATCCATCTGCCAGGTTCCAACACTCCTTGAAACAAGTCTTAAATTATTTTTAGGAAAATGTCTTTTATACTTTGTTTAGAATGGTTTCAATACATGGCTCTATTGGAATCTGAGAAGTAGCATTGGTTTCTCTTCATTTATTGAAAAATCGTAATATACAAGCATGATGCTATATATTCATGGCCTAACTGTTAGTCTACTCAGAGGAGAAAATCCTCCATGTGCCATTTTTATTATTGAGTTGCTTCATTTTTGTTAACTGGTTTTGTGTGACGTTTTCTTTATAGGCTTTGATGAGACCTGGACGAATTGACAGAATCATCTATGTGCCCTTGCCAGATGCCAAAACTCGTAGAGAAATCTTTAAACTTCAGTTTCGCTCCATGCCCATCAGTGATGAAGTCTGCTTAGAGGAGCTCGTCCTGCAGACGCAGAAGTATTCAGGAGCAGAGGTAAAACATTCTGTTCTCTGCTAGTGGCTGGGGAGTGAAAACGCAGAACTATCCTTGTGAAAAATCTAACACAAATACCATCAACTTACTTGAGTGAGGGGAATTCTAAAGGCAAATATATATATATATATACACACACACACACTTGAGAATACAATATGCTTTCCTTATTTGTCAGGTTCCTTGGAGTTTGCCCAGAAAAAATAGTCTTAGGCTGAGTTATCTTTACCATGAAGTTCCTACTACACTAGTGGTTCCAAAAGAAGCCATGGTCACAGGGATGGGATGGGCGGATGGTCCTTGGGAAAATGGCTGTATTGGAATCATGCTAATAGGAACTTTGGATTGTGGGGATGGGCGCAAAGTTAGTGTGAAGGCACAGGTCCCCTGGATGATTGGCTCTGGCCTCCCACAGATCTATGGGCATCTTTCATATTTGAGGGATGTGCTCCATAGCCTATTCTATGTGGAGGGAGAACAACCATGGAATATTGTGAGGGAATCTCTGGGAGGAGTTAGTTTGAGAGAATTTCTTCCCCAGCACCCCCTTATAGGTTTCTCTGTGGGAGAGAGCAAGGTAGTCCTATTTTCCAGCTTACAGAAGTCCCTATGAAAAAGTCAGCTTTTGTCTGCAGATGTCACACAGTTACCACCGTTCTTTCCTACTCTAATAATAGGGGGAAACTCATAGTTCAGATACTGTTGTGTGGTAGTTGTTGATAAATATTGGCATTTTAATGTCACCCATGTAGTCCTTGCTTACTAGTCCATTCAGTTTCTCTATAGAACCTATGATCCTTTCCTCATTTTATTTAGTTAAATTAAATGTTTAAAAAAAAGGTTAAAAGAACATTATTACGGTTGTAAAGTCAAACACTCAAAAATTAGGAAATGTCAGAATTAACGTTGCCCAGGCCACCTTCATTTGGTCCCCTTGTGCATGTGCATCATGACCTGGGTTTTAATTATGTAATCACTTACTGTTTTTTCCACAGGACCCCTGCTTCATTCAGTGCGCAGGATGGACAGTGTTCTAAAAATGAATAAAGGCTGTGTAGTGAATGAGGCTCTTGTGTATAGGACCTATGTTGTATTTGTTGCAGAAGAACTGAAAAAAGGGTCTTATGATGGGAAATGTTGGGCAAGCTTAAATATTGGCATGTTACCTGCACTGCCTATACTTAGATTCTACTAGCACAGTTATTGTAGATGGAGCTGGTAGGAGCTGCCTGTAGTTAAGGTTGCCCAACACTTTCTATTTTAAGAACCTGTTTTCAGTTGCTTACAAAATTGCTAGTCTTAAACCATTTAGGATGAAATTTTCCATGTTGGCTATCTGCCTCAGAATGAAGATAGGAAAAACATGTTGTTTCCCACATTTAAAAAAAAACCAACCATTATGTTGAGAAGCGCTAGCTCCTCCATGCTTTAGAACAAGGACTTGAAATTTGGCATGATGCCTGGTATCAGGGATGTGCCTCTTGCCATCCCTTGTGAAAATTCACCCAAATTTGGCCAAGTTATAAGCCTCTGGGAAGATAAAATGGAATTTTTGAAAAGTATCCTCTCGCCAGAGTGCAACTGCTGTGCATGATACCAGACATTCAGAATATTTGGGGGATCCTATTGAACTTGACTCAGCTAAGCACAAGTGGTGAGTTCCTGTAATTTAACTGATGCTCACTGAGAAGCATCTGCCCCTTGACTGTGGCTTTGTACAGAATCAAAAGCAAAATAAGCTAACTTGTCATTGATTGCATCTGCTGAAAAAACTGTTCTTGGGATAGCATATATTGTAATCTTATTTATGATGGTATTAATATTTTTGTTTTTATTGTTCAATGAAGTATAGTAATAGTGACAGAGAAAACCAGCACAAAGAGAACTTCTAAAGTGAGTGTTCCTTGGAAGTGTATGTAAAAAGTCTGACGGTTGGCACCGACAGTGCACTGTTTCATTAAGGCCTTTTCTTCCTGGTGTCTCCAGTTTCCAGCTTTACAAATAATTTCCGCTGTTGAATGGCAAGTTCCCATATCCACTGTTCTATCCTTTTGTATACAAAAGAAATAGGAAACACTTGGTTTTGTGTCTATAAGATGCTGTATAAATAGGGAGCTTCTTATAGAGATGTGTTGAACTATTGCAAAATGAGCTGAATAGACAGTGAGTAATACAGATTAATCTGAGTAAAAATAGCACAGTGAGTAATAATAGCATTCATCTGGCCTCCGTGCATGGCATTTTTTCAGATCAGATACTTGTATCTTTTCCTATCATCACTTATGACCCTCAGATATATCTCTGTTCATCTGCTGGGTGTGCGTATTTCCTTTCTCTTAATGAACATATTTATTGCTACATCCTTCTTGTGCCACGGTTAGTGCACAAGGCGGAAACTCATCACTTCTTGTCATTAGCTAAAGAACATATACATAAATGATGTATCAAGATAGTCTGCTAAATAATGTATGCTACTCTCCCATTTATCCAAATGGCCTGGGGGACATCTGAAACTTTTGGATAACCAGGCATGCAGATAAACGGAAGTGCTATTTTGAGCTACATTTCCACTGATACAGAAATACAGGAAATAAAGGGAGTAATGCAGATGTTTGCTTAATACTTTGTACTTCATTAAAGAGTAAATAAACAACTTCATTGAATTTATTAAAACATCAAAATTGTATTATAATCACAGTGGACATAATTTAATTGTGAATTATTTATCTTTTTTATGAAAATGATTAATCACAGTCTGTCACCTGTCGTCATTGTGCCAACGGCTGCAGCAAATCTATGCAGCTTGTCCCCTGCCTTCCAGATATCACAGATGGTGGAGTTACCAATGTTGCAATGGTGCATGACATCAACAACTTTTTCTCCCCTTTCTAAGACCTTGAGAATCTGTAGTTTCTGCTTTAGATCTAACACAGATCATTTTCTTTTTGACGTTTTCCTGCTAAACTGCTCTTGCAGCTGAAACAGAATTACTAGGTCTCAGTAGCTGGAGGTAACAGCTCAGAACTGCTATACAAATTCAGAACTGTTGATTAGTGCTAACAGGCACTAAGAAACTGATTGTCACGGTATTGGTGGGTGATTAACCAATTTGGGGCTGCATCGGGGACACACTGTGCATTCGGATAATTAGGATTTTCTGATCAAGTGAATTAGGATAATTGGAATTTTATTGTATTTATTTTTTCAGCATTTCATTTGTGAGAAGAGCGGACAGAAATAATGAGAGGAAGAGTTACAAGTAAATTGTAAAGTCCTCTCCTTCCCTTATAAGTGTAATGCTAAAATCAAAAAGTGCATATTATTTAACTGAGAGTTTGTCATGTGTCAGTCTATATTACACTATGGATATTGGACCAAACAAACTCCTATAACGGAACACCCCCAAACTCTGGAGAGGTTTGGTTTCAGATCTAATCTTAACGTCTCAGGCCCTTGTCTAGTTACACAGATGCTGGTGTATGTTCAGCATATATGCTTATGGCTCCTAAAAAGTCTAAAGTAAACTTAAAGGTTATTTGAATGGCTTAAAGTGTGAGTGACATGAGGTTGTTTTTAGAAATTTTTGAATATTGTGATTGGATTCGCCTCCTGTGCCGAGTGATGGAGTGAGGAAGAATAAAGCCTTCTAGGAGCCAGGACCCAAATCTTTGCTGAAGTGTGTGCCCTCCCTCCCCAAACAGATTTCTCTGGCTACAGCCCCCTTAAAGGCATTTCCCTTTTTCTAAGAATTGCATGCAAATTTTCCCTGCAGTTGCCAGGACCAAGCCATTCACACGGTAGGTCTATCTGCAGCCATGCCGGGTCTGGCTTAACCAGATGTCTGTCTTGCCCCTGCTTTTAGACTGGATTACAGTCTCTCTAAAAGGTTTCATATTTCTTGAAGGCAGTCAGTCCCTTCCTGTATCTCCAGATCCCTTCTAGGAAGTTCTGCTGACAATCCTCAGAGCTGCTGCCTCCTGACATAGCAAAACTACTAACAGGAAGCTGTGGGACTCTGCTCTATTGCTACCTTCATCCTCCTCTCTCTCAGTATGGTAGTTTGCAAGTTTTTGGCAGTGCCATGTTTTAGTGTCCATACAGTGTTTTTTTTTGTTTTGTTTTGTTTTTTTTTGTTTGTTTTTTTGTAGATTCTGAATTTCAAGACCCTGAAGTAAAAAAACCTGCCTGATGATGCCTTGTATCAGGGGGTAGCCGTGTTAGTCTGTATCCACAAAAACAATGAGGAGTCCAGTGGCACCTTAAAGAAAAACAGATTTATTTGGGCATAAGCTTTCGTGGGTAAAAAACCCACTTCTGCGGATGCAACTGGACACTACAGTTTTTTTTGATGACGCCTTGTCACTGTTGAGCATTTTGAAATATGAACACTTATTACCATTTCCCTCCTGATTTACACACCAGGTGACAGTTATTTTGTAATGAAAACTTCACACACAGTCAGCTGTTTTCTTCATGCACCGGGAATATGGAATGGTGGTATATGGAATGACAGGTACATTGAAACTGAGGTATGGCCACGGCTATCGTGACATCATTGCGATCACACTGAAACCAGAGACTCTCAGAACTTGAGCTCTGAGCCTCTACATATGCAGCTGGCTGGTGGAAGACATTGCAAACCTAAATAACACCAAAGAGGCACAAATACAAGAGATCTACTGGAGAAATGAAGTCAAGCATTGCTGCAGATACAAGGGACAGGGAAGCCATTAGGAAGAAGCGAGATCCATGCATTGATCCATGAGACCCCATTGAGCACCCAAGAACAATAACAAAGGGTGTCAGTTGTAAAAACACCCAGAGGCAGCACTAAACATTGTCAGTGACAGTGTGACACCATCATCAGTCAGTGTAGAGAGCACAGTTACAACTGGAATTTGCCAAATGCAAGAATTTGAATGTAGCTGGCCCACAGGGTTCTATGACACAATACCAACGATAGCAGAGACGCAGTGGCAAAAAAAGCACAGACAGGTTAG